CATTAAGCACTGATTCCTTTAAATCTAAAGTTCATCTTCTCTAATAGTGTTTCTAACTCTAAAATCAACATGAAAGTTGGTGCTTTATAGACATACATATCCAATGCATATCTTGAACCCATATTAGGTCAAGATAAGAGTTAATGATCTAAATTTCATGCGTGATTACAATATGAAACTATAATTCAGATCCAAGCCACTAATTTCACCAAATGTCACAGAGATTCATAAAGTTGCAAACTTTATGAAATCTCACCATTCTAACTAACAAGAATAAGAAGATTATGGGACAAAACCTAAGATCTAGCATCCTATCATGATAAACATCAAGCTTTGGAATCTTACAAAGGTCTAGAAGAGTGCCAAGATAAAGGATGGAGGCTTTCTTGTTGGATCATAACTCAAAAATTCCTCCTTCTCCCTTCAAGAGCTTCCAAGACTACCAAAAATGATCACAAGAGAACCAAAGATGATTAGGGTTAGAGTTGTTGGGTTTAAGGGTGATGGAGGCTGAAGGTGGGCAACCCTAGCCTCCCCACTTTTCTTTAAATACTCGAAAATTAGGGTTTTTCACATAAGGCCGCCACCACATCGTGGCCACATGTTGCCACATCGTAGTGACTAAATAAAACACGCGATCTAATCTCGACTCGCCACGTCATAGTGGTCCTTCACCACGTCATGGTAGACCTGATCATAAATGTTGATAATGACCAGCTACCTCAAAATTAGGATGTTACAATTTAGGATTATTTTCAAGAACTTGAGTCCTCAAAGAGTCTTCAACCCTTAATTGACTTCAAAGTTGAACCAAAGTTAACTCTTCATTGTTATATTTCAGAGTATGTTACTTTTTCTAGGAAGGATGTTGTTTTTCATGGAATTGTTCAATGATAGGCCTGGTATCAACCATCATGTAATTCATGAAATTAATGACCAAAAACTTCACACTAGAAGCATCTTCTGTCATGTACTTGGATTCCAGTGAATCCAATAGTTGATTTTCAAATTCGACATTTTGATAAACATCAAATAGAGAGTCATGCATACCATTTAGGATGTGGCCACGACATATGTATTCATTGTTCTCCCACCTCGATCTCCTCCTAGGTGCTTCTAAGGGTTCATCTTGAACATATTCAGGAATAGTGTGTTGAGTCAACCCCATTTAACCCATGAACTATTAAGATAAAAAACACAAGCATGTATGTTCTGTTGCTATTTTACATGAGAGAACATATGGAAGAAACGATGAAATGTATTTTTGGACTAAAAATCCACTCTATTAATCAAAAGCAAATAACTATAAATAGCCTACAAAACCAAATAAAAATAAACAATATCAACCTAAAAGCTAGTCTACTCCTAAAAAATAAGGTACTCCCATGACCCAATACACTAACTTTTGGATCCATTGTAATTAGTCAAACACCCTTTGATAACCTTTCATTCAGTCCTAGGTAAAGAAAATGATAAATAACCTTTTACCTATAAGCCAAATTAACCCATGACCCAGGTCAAGATTACCCAACATTCACCCTAGTCTTGACAGTAGTCATTGTGCTCAAAGTAGTGTTAGGCTTATCATCATCTTAGATCTAATTAGCTTCTTCTTCCTTTGTTTCTTTCTTATAAAATCGACTTCATAATGTCCATATTCTTGAAGGGTATATCATTTAATATGTCGCTTATCTTGATACAAACCTTGTTCTTTTTTATATTTATAGCTTTAGACCCTGACCTCATCCTTATCCAACTTGATCTTGAATGAAGTTACCACACTTAGTTCTCTCTTCCTAATCCTCTTTTGACAATAAGAGCTTCTTTTGATCGTTGTCATCTTCATCAAGAACTTTAATTCTCTTTTCATATGCCTTCAACCTCCCCACAACTTACTCAAGTGACATATTCTCTATCTCTGAGTATTTCTCAATAGATGCTACAATCTGCAAGAATGTCTTAGGAACCAAATTTAGGAACTTTCTTATTATTATTCTCTCATCTTGCAAGATAGACATAAGATGCTTGAATTTTCTAGCAATCCCACTAAGTTTGACTAAAAACCCATCAATGGTGTTGCTCTCTTTCATCTTCAACATCTCTAGCTCGGTTCTAAGTGTTTGAAGTCTTGATTTTTGAACTCTTTCAGCTCCTAAATACCGCACACGAAGCGCCTCCCACACGTCTTTTGCATCCTTATGCTTAGCCACTTGAAGCAATATATCTTTCGGTAAAGTTTGAAACACAAATGATCTTTCCATAAGGCTTTTCTTTGCCTCAACCGCTCCTCCCATTACCGGATCAATGGCTTCCCACAAACCGTATGCTTGTAGGATACTGCTACCTTGATTACTCATGGGTACAACCTGAATTGATCCACCAGGATTTGTTGTTGGCATCGTTCCTAACTCGGCTCTTTATTCTCGTAAAGTTCCAACCAATATGGATCACACACAGATTTGAGTTATTTTCTATTCTTTTTCTTTTCTTCAACCCATACACACTCACTTGTAGGTGCACAAAATTCTTCTCTTCTGATTTTCTTTCTCACTTTGACTAGCTTCTCCACACATGTTAGCTTCACCACACAGGTTTTTTATCTTCTTATTTCACCTAGAACTTGGATTCACCATGACCCTTTCTTTTAACTCACACGTATCAATCTTAAAAAAAATCAATCACACATCACATAGGTACAAATCTAATCACATATATTTCTAGTTTTTGAACTCGGCTCACATAGAGCTTTGTTCATATCTCATTGAAATGTAATTGGTTTACATAGAACCTATTTTAAAGATCGCACAATTTGAGCCTAGGGCTCTAATACTAAATGTTGGTTCATCCCCCCTTCAACCTGTGAGCTAAAATGATAAAAAAAACATGCATGTATGTTTTGTTGCTATTTTACACGATAAAATAGAGGTAAGAAAAAATGAAATGTATTTTTGGACTCAAAAGCTACTCTATTAATCAAAAGCAATTAGCTATAAATAGCCTACAAAACCCCAAAGAAATAAACAATATCAACCTAAAAGCTACCCACTGCTCCTAAAGAATAAGGCACTCCCATGACCTAACACACTAACTTTCAGATCCATTGTACTTAGTCAAACACCATTTCATGACCCTTTATTCAATCGTAGATAAAGAAAACCATAAACAACCTTTTACCCATAAGCCAAATTAATCCATGACCCATTTTAAGATTACTCAACATAGGGGTACTTAGACCATGAACCACTTTAAGAGTAGTAAGGATGGAATGCATTTGCTTCTGTCATCTACCAAAATCTTGTTCTTAAAACTTGATAAACTTATCAAACTTGCTTGTCATGTCCACAGATTCCACATTCGCCATTTTTACAGAAAACTTTAATCTTTGTTAGAAAAACTGGATTTCGATTGCTTGGATTACTAAGAGTCGTGATTTCACTTTTAGATTAACGTATTTTGATGGTACAAATGATATCTTCAATTGGATAAAACTCAGTAGAATTCAAGAACAAAGAAGAGAGAAGTTATGATCTTATATCTACCAAAATAATGACCAAAAACTAGTATATCACACCTTAGGCCCTGCTACCAGGGGCGTTGCCCACATGACCCCCTTGGTTCAGGGGCTCTGCCTCTAAATAACAATGTACTTTAAATCGTAATAAACTCAAACAAATGTGCACTCTGCACCACCCTTATTTATTCAATATTCTTCAAGATTACATTGGTCAACATGTTAATCCCATTAAACTTAAATAATTTTGGTGATACAAATCACCAACACATCTCAATCACAATAGAAACCTTGTGTCGACCCTAACAAACCGTAAAATCATAATCACAAATATCAAAGGGTGTGTGATTCTATTAAGATAGCTTTGGATACAATGATTTCATATGCAATCTGGAAAATTTGGAAGTTACGTAATAAGTCGATTTTCAAGGCCAAGAAGGTTTGTAAGGACCATATTTTTATTGCGATTAGAATGGTGTCGTATAACCGGGGGTTGTTGGACCATACCTTCCATAACAAATCTCTAATCCATTTAGCTCTACTCTTGAGCCATAAAAAGGCCAAAGCCAAACCTCATAAGCTAAAGTATTTGTTCTCTACACCTTGCCTAAAGTCGATTGATAGGAAAGCTAAGCAGAAAAAGTGCTTTAAACCCTCTATAATTCCTTTGTGTTAGCCTCTGGCTAGCCTCTTTAATTAATGAATCGCCTTTTTCTACACAAATAATAATAATAATCACAAAATACCAAAGGCTCTGTGCATGGTTGCAACCATAACAAAGATTTTCTACATTCCTATCCAAACTGTATTTAACCTTTGATAAGAAGTTGAATATTAATAATCATCCAGAATCTAAGAAACCCCAATTTGACACCATGTTTACTAACCTTCTTTGTAATGTACACGTCCCTGATGTTCCCGAATTTATTCAAGACTTTCCACATATCCTTTAAGGCTAATCCGTAGGTAAATTTAATCAGCAACATTTTAAAAATATATTAATAATATATTTTATAAACTCTATATGAATAATTCCCAAAATTATTCTTTTTGTTAAATTTGGGGCCCTGGATATAAACAAAGGAATGTTAGTAAAATCATAAGGATTACATATATAACAGACCGATTGATCGTGGAATAAACCCAATTCATATGCACTAGTGACTTCAATCATAATACAGTTTAATTCTAGCTTGGCACCAAAAGTTAAACATTATCGACAGTTAATATTTAACTTGCCATGAGTTTAGTCACTCTTTATCCTAACACCTCCTACGTCCATGTTTTGTTATCAATGGGAAACATTTAATTCTCCGTAGTTTAGAATATTTTTACTGTTCCATGCAGTTATTTTTTTTAGACGTCACATAGTTTAATTTTATTTTCTTTAAACCCGAACAAAAAGTATCCAAACAAATGGCTATAGATCTAGGGCAAAAATTGTGGGGACTAAGAAAAGGACAATGCGTCGTGGTGAGAATCTAGTCTTCTCTAATATGAAAACATATGAATCCTTACAAAAGCTTTCCAAAATTGTTCTAGCATGCATTTCTCACTGATATCATATAATAGGAGCAATGCATGTGTGCGTAATTAAAAAGCAATTTGGAAATAAACTGTCACTAATCTGTTTACATAGAGAAGTTGAGTTAGTAAATCATGGAAATTTTAGAAAGCTACCATCATGGTCTGCATTACTACTTCTCTTGTCTTCTTCATCAACAATTTCGTTGTCATCTACCTCAATCAAGTCTTCAGAATTAATGTAATGAGGTGCATGACCATTTCCAAAGGCATGAACATGATCTTTAAGAGATCTTTTGTGCTTAAAATCCGATCCACAAACACAATACCATAACTTCCCACAATTCTTCTCGTGAGTCCTCCAATCACCTCTTACTGCAAAAGGCTTCCCGCATTTTCGACACCCAAAGGGCTTCTCACCATGCTTTCTTTTGTAGTGCGTTTGAAGAGTCCTGAAGTCTTTGAGTGGCTTCGATCTAGGGTGGTCTATGTTGTTTTTGCAACCCTCCGCACAACAGTAACAAGGTAATCTCAGCATTGATGATGCAGGTTTTGTGCCTCTTAAGGATTCAGGACCTTTTCTGTATTGTGATCCATGCCCCCACATATGCATCTAGGGAAGTATATATGTATAGAAGAAAAACTATTAGAAATAACAGAAAGCACATAGAATTACAAAGACCATGATAATATTCATAAAATAGTAAATACATAACTGAGAAAAATAAATTATTTTAGAATACGGAGGATCAGGAGAAAAAAGTTCAATACAAATAAGTACACTTAAAGAGATATCGATAATAGGAAGCAAACAAGGGAGAAGTACTTAACTAGTTATACTTGACAAAGCATGTTAAAAGGCTTATCTAAAGTACGACAAGGTGAAAATCATGCAACTTAGCATTAAAAAAACCAACTTAGGAGAATTAAAAACCAATATTTTCTTCAAAAAGAAACATTAGTCAACTTTTTTTCTCCACAATTTTACCGAAACTCTGCAAAATAGTCGTGACTTGGTCACAAGTCTTTGTCCATGTGCATCAATTAATTAGTACGTAGAAAGACTACAATGGCAGAAAGTTTAATTAGTTAGTTAAAAATATATTCCCCCAAAGTCACATCCCGAGAATCAACCTGCATGTTGTTGTAGCGGTTGAATGTCTTGTTGCAAACTGTGCAAGAAAACTGTGTAGGGCCAACCATGATTTGTGCTGTTGTGGGGATCCAATACTGTAAATGATCAACTGATATGCTCATGTTAGGATTAGTGGAGAAGCTTCTGGCGTCTCCTCCTACTGATGACGCAGTTGGTGGTTGACCCATGTGAAGTGCGACTGTTACACCATCGTCGCAGCTATCGGTAGTCCTGTTATTGAGATTTAGTTTGAGGTTAAGATCTTTAATAGGGTTTCGGTGAAAGGAGTAGTGTGAGGAGGATGAGATATTTGAGTGATGATGTTGGTGATGAGAGTTGTGGTATTTGGATAAGTCATGGTGTTGGGTTTGTCCTGGAGGGCTAAGAGAGAGTAGAATCGAATCCTCATCCACTTCATCAACATCCAAACACCCATTACTCTCGCTTGTTGTTGCCATGTTTGTAAAGCTACGCCAAGTTTTTGGCTTTACAGAATGTCACATATTTAGGGTATGTGCATTGCTAAAGAAGAGAAGTTGAAATGTGAAAAAAACACACACAGAGAGAAAGAGAGAAAGAGAGAGAAACTGGAACGGAGAGAGATCCAAGAAGCTGGTTTGATGCTTTTGTAAAAAGACAGTCATGAAGATGACACATACATACAGACATATAGATAAAGAGGTCAAGGTCTCTCAAGAAAGAAGTATTAAGATTTGGGTGTTAGTAAAGAGAAAACAAATCATCATGAGAGAGAGAGAGAGAGAGAGAGAGAGAGAGAGAGAGAGAGAGAGAGAGAGAGAGAGAGAGAGGGGGGGGGGGGGGGGGTTTAAGTCATGACAATTGGCGGAGAGCACAATGGATCGAGAGAAAAACGTTAAAGAAGGTTTTAAAGAAGATAAGGAAAATAAATTCAAAATTTTTTGGGTGGAATCATGATATGATGCAGCGATAGAAAGAAAGAGAAAGAGAGGGAGGCAGTGTGCACGTGGAATAGGGATATAAAAATTTGGAAGGTGATTGTTTTGGCGTGTATAGAAATGGGGGAGACAAGGACTCGGCAAAAGACAGGTGAGAAAGAAAGAAACTGCACTACATAGAATGGTGTACCAATCTCATTTACCTCCATTAATTTTCAATTCTAATATACCCAATCCATCACATACTTAATTTCACCTTATACACATAATAACTTTCCTATATATAAATGAGCTTAACCTAATAGTTTTTACTAGCTTGTTTTCGGCTGAAAGTAAACACAAGAGCTTCTTTTCCTTCTTTTTTGAAAGCCTTTAAAGTAATATATATTGAATTTCAAAACTCTTGTTCATCTAATATCATTAAACCCTGCTTAAAGATGATACCTAAGTAATTACTCTATATCTATTATCATGAAAAGCATCTTTATAATTACATGAACAAGCTCGATCCACCAAATATCTTTAATTAGTGATGAGCTTCAACATTTTGTTGGATCGGAAGTTCGGATTGTGATGTATATAAATGGATGATTAATGATCTTTCAAATTTTGTGCTCGATAACTCGTTGCTAAATAATTAAAATTACTTATGAAGATGTAAAGCAAACATTTTGAATGGTATACACGAAACAAAGACTATAGTTCATAGTTGTCAAGTTGAGTGTTCTTTTGCTAATTCTTATCAGCCTAATTAGTTGTTGATTTCATTACTGACTGCCAACTTAAGTAATTGTTGAGTATTTTCGTAAATATACTGGTTCAAAATATAAGTAATTAAAACTGCAAAATATTTTGCTCTCTATAAAATTAGTCTATCAAAATTTTCTTGCACTAATTAAACTCTATAAAGTTCAATGAATATATTTATAAAATATAATTAATTTATAACATATATATGTTTAATATATCAATGGCCATCCTTATATGGTTAATTAGCCAAACACAACCATGCTTGTTATCATCATCATTTGTATCAAACAATGGAGCATATTTTTAGCAAGCAGAAGCTGGAATCAGGCTAAAAACAAGAACATATACAGAATAGGTATGGCAAGTGGAGGGCTCATCCACTTAGTCCACTAAAATTGCATGACATGGTTTGGTATAAAATCTAACAAAAGAATTGGAATATAGGAAATTACCAAGTTAACCTCGAGTAAAATCCCAAGCTTCAAGGGTAATTAAATTCGGTCTTGTAGGTAAGAATTATTTCCAGAAATAAAGTACCACGACAAATCTTATCATGTATCAAAAGAATTATTATAATTTTATTGATCGGACGAATGTGTAAATATTTTAGTGGGATATTGTACGTATTATATTTATATGTATATGTATTCACTGTACATTCAAGCAACGAAGACAGGTTTATCAAGTACTCTCGATGACATAGATAGGTATGTGGACTATGGAACTCCTTGGAGAGCTACAGTTAAAAGGCAGGCGTGAGTCTCTCTCTCTCTCTCTCTCTCTCTCTCTCTCTCTCTCTCTCTATCTCTCTCTCTCTCTCTCTCTCTCTCTCTCTCACACACACACACACACACAGAGACACACAGTCCCTCACTTTTCTAGTTAACATGTAAAGGAGATGTTGAAAGAGATGTACATGCCAGCAATACAATGATAGAAGATGTTACACTACATAGTGCAAACCAAGAATCCATCAAATATCACACAAGCAAAAGTAGCTAGTACGTACTCTTTTAATTATTCGTAGTCTTTTTCAATTTGTTAGTCACATGAAAAGTCTAATTCACCAATATTCATGATTTGATTTGACACAATGTTAGATCAAAGTAGCTTGGTGTCGCCTAATTAAATTGCAAGCTTATCATAATTTCTTGCTACTCGTATACAATAAGGATGATCTGCAATAGACGTATATGCATCAAAAAGGACAGCTGCAAATGGTATAATGAATTGATGTAGGAACATGTACATCCTACAAAATACTAGTAAAAATTTCAATATACCAATGCAGGTCAAGAAATTAAACATTGGTTGTTTTGTATTAGTGTGACTTGTCTGTATGTTAATTAATTAAGTTCGAGTGATTGAAGTGAATAACGAGGGCATATGTGCACGAAAATATTTTCTTCAATGGCTCACATCTATGCACTATCTCATGAACAATTATACGAAAATTGCTTGATATTGGTGTTGGCAGATTAATAAAACCAATATTGGTGAGGAATAATTCAAAAGTTAATTGTAATTAATAATTCTTGTTAGTGGTCAGCTAATGTGTTAGATAGTGTCGTAGATTTTAGCATGATTGTTAAGATCTCAATATTGATTTTAAGATCCTACGATTTTAAAATCTTACGAGCGAAAAACAATCTTGATCACACACAAAGATGTATATCTGTACAAGAAACTATATTGAAATCTTAATTCGATCTAATTTCACCACTTTAGTTTTATATATAGTTGTAACTTAAAAATCATTCATTCAACTAGAAATCGAGCATAACATATTGCAATATGTCTCATAGAGCATCAAAAGTTCATTATTTCATCTTGAATTACATAGAGTATCGTGATACTCATGATATTCCTTTGTAATCTTATGTCTGCAATTGTATATGATCATGAAAATCATGTTTTTTTAAAGATTTTTCTTTTTAATTTTTATGGTCTACAACAATAAGAACTGCAGTTTATGCTTACGAATTTAAAATTGATTGTAACGTTAATGTCTTAATCAACATCAATACTACATAACCATAAACAGGATTTTACGAAGAAATTTCAAGACTTCATTTGGGTAGGATCTTGTGATCCCTCTTAGATCTTTTGATTAAGATTTTGCAAAAACTAAAATGATCTTTAGTAGGATCTTGATCTCGATAATATTTGATTTTAGGGGTTTGTCTATTGATTCTTAAGCTTCCCCTATTTTGGTTTTTTCTTTAAGTAAGTAGGTTGTTTTCTATTTTTTGTTTATAGAATTGTATGGTAAAAATACTTATAACATGTATGTTGTTTAAAACAAGTTAGTCAATATATTATTAAATTTTAAAGATTTTATTGGTTTAAAAGTATATTACTATAACACTAAATAAAGTGTTAACAAGAAAGATGATAATTTATTAATCCATTTAAATATTTATCAAACAATGAACTAAGAACTTTTGTATATTGTAAACCTTGTGTTACATGATTAATATTAACTAGTGTAGGGACTCATGCTTCAAATGGGTAGGAAGACTGTTTTTTTCTATTTGAGAATTGTCACTCAAAACAATTCAGTAACAGTAATAGAGCTTTGAACATCACTATGACATGTAGCATCTCGAAAATTGTTTGAATCTGTAAAACCAAAGAATACATAAGATACACTTTTATACTATTGACATCAACCAAATTTTATCACATGAATAAACAAAATGAATACATAAACCTTATCAACAAATATATTCATCATTAACGAAGAAGCAATTTAAAATTCAATGAAGTAAAATATAAACATCACTTTGCAAAGGGTATGAGGTTGAACATCTAACAGGGTATGAGGCTGGACATCTAACATGTTCCATTAATCCTCAAAATATATGCACTAAAAAATGTATATTGCAAACTTCCCAAAACTCACTTGAAGAACTACTACAGACAGATGGAGAGATGTAATACATAATGTCAATATGAATATCATTAAGGACAATAACAGTACGCTCCATAAATTTGAAGTTTCATAAACAATGTTTCCAAATACGACCCTACTCTCAGTTGACGACACCTTAATGTGTGTTTTTATATGCTTTCTTGATTCAGGGGCAAGGGTGTCAAGTTTAAAGTTACCTATTGTTACCAATTCCAGACTAAGATTCTGAAGGGATTCTTTGGTTATGTTGATGCAATAAAGACAATATGTAACATCCCAAAAATATAGTCCGAAAATTTCATTTTTAAATCACTAATAAAACCATAGCTACAACTCATCACATAAAAATATAAGTCATGTATCTCAAAATACCATAAAAATCTGTCAAAACATATCAGAGTAAAAACATCCCAGACTAAAGAATGGTGTGTGCACTGCAGTCATCCCGACCTCTTCCCCTTGCTACTGGAAGTACCTGAAACCAAAACTAACAAATGTAAGCACGAAGCTTAGTGAGTCTCCCCAAGCTATCACATAACCAAATACATTGGGCCTAACTCGCTACATTGGGCCACGCCAAACACTGGATGAATTCGACATCAGACCCCGCTTGGCATCAGACCCCACCTAGCATCGAGCCCCGCTCGGTATACAAATCTGTTTCTACTAGGCCCCGCCTGTCTCTGGGCCCCGCCCGCTATAAGTATACAAACAATAACATATAATCATGCTAATAAATAACAGTCAAACATAACACTATAACTGCTAGTCTTAAGGCCCCGCCCCTACTAAACTAATAATGAGATATGGAACCCTGTCCATACTCAGCTAGTGATGAGATATGGTACCTCGCCCACACTCACCTCCCTGTCGGGCACATATAAGTATCACAAAGGCAACAAGTATAACTAATTATGCACTCCTTCCCCGGGTACCACTCGACATCAAACCGTAGCTCAGAAACATACATATAAACCTTCATCGGGCCTCGCCCAACATCAGACCGAAATCTGGAAACATATAAGCTACATCGGGCTATCCCCGGCATCAGATCTAATACGACATACACTAACATGGATAAACGGGCCAACATTGGTGCCTTCGACCTGTTCCTACTGGAGAAAACTCACCTCACAAACTGACTGCATAATCCCTGCAAATAAACCTC